GTTAGTTCCCCCAGTCTTGTTTTCTCTGAGCATTCGTCCTTTGCTGGCTTTTTCGCCTACAGATCTGATCTAACTGCTATGCCTGCCTGCAAATTAATCCTGTATGAATATTGTATGGCTTGCTGGGTGGGACTTCTGCGTCCCGAGGACGCTTGGTGAAAATTAATAATTGAATTTGTATTTTTTTATTCAAATGTTTCTATTATTTTTATTTTTTACTAAATTGTTTCATTTTTTTTTGACTATTTTATTTTTCAGCACACTGCGACCAAAGCAATAAAATGTTACCATAGTAACATTGAACTACTCTGGGCAAGTGATCAGGATTTTTTTTTTTTGTTTTTAGCTTTTTTTTTTTTTTTTTTTGTTAACACATTATGATTGCTAATACCGATGTATTTCATTGATATTTGCAATCATTGTTACTGAATGAAATGGATTAATTCAGTCTTTTGTTGTGATTAGCTGTGATTGGACAAAGCTGATCACATGACACAGAGGGCCTGTGATTTGCCCTGTCTGTATCATGTGACTGCCGTGACCAGCTAACAACATAATTGTATACAATGGATGGCATGACAGGAAGCCATGCATTGTATACAATTGACATGTGATCTGCTGTGACCGCTGGTCACAGCGGTCTCATGACACTGGGAACAGACCGGTGTAGTGATATGTCACCGGCTGTGTCCCGTGGACACAGCCGGTGACAGATCGTGCCGTGGCTGCGTGAGCGGCTTGTTTTGACAGGACACATGACTCTGGCAACAGACCGGTGTGCTAATACGTATGTAGTGGGCGACGTACCAGTATATCTCCTGCCCAGGCTGTGCTGCACATTGGCAGTAAATGTACTGTGGGAGGTTGGCAAGTGGTTAATTGACATGTTAGGAGAAACCTGCCCATAGGCTTCTTTCACACCGGCGGGTGGTAAAAACAGATGGACGATCTGTGTTTCTACCATTTCCCCAAGCACTCAGCTACAAGTGGACAATGTGCCGCTTGGATGAGTAAACTCTGCTGCTGGAAGGCAGTAGATACCACAACAAGTGTGAAAGGAGCCATAGACAGCTACAATTCCCATTACAGGCAAGCACATTATAAACAAGATTAAAATTATTCTACATAAGGGGATTGTAGTTTGTTCCAGTGGCCCCCGGAAGTGACGTCAGCATTTCCCTGATACCGCCTTTGGGTGCCCGGGGCATAGCTGTGCTGATGACTTCATCAACATTACAAGGGTACTTTATTCAAAATTAGGAAGGCTAATAGAAAAATAAATAGCAGTCACAATGTACATAGTAAAAAGAATGAATGGTTGAAAAAAGGTTCAGCTTTAATGCAACGCGCACATTACCATGCAAAGAAATGCAAGTTCCAATATATATTACGTAACGCAAGCGCTTATTACGGTGAATAAAAAAAAAAAAAAAATACATATATATATATATATATATATATATATATATATATATATATATATACCGTGTTCCAAATTATTATGCAGATTATATTTTTCTCATTTCCCTAAATAATTGATGTAAATAATAGTCAGCATAATTCTCAAGTTCAAAAGAAAAAAGAAAAAAGCGCCACTTACAAAAAACACCAAAATGCAGCAGCATATCCCACCCAAAATAAATTTTGGCAACAATAATCCTAATTAAAAGGTATGCGCTAATAACAAACTTATACAAAGGTGTATATCATCATCCAAAAAACATTAGTGTTTTAAATAAATAATTATAGTGTCCAAACATAAATTAGTGTCCAAAAAAATATATATATATATCTTCAGTGACTTGAACCAATTGAGAAAAATTTTGGATGATGATATACACCTTTGTATAAGTTTGTTATTAGCGCATACCTTTTAATTAGGATAATTCTCATGTTATCAACTATTAAAAGTACAATTCACATTTTATTGAACAAACCTCCTAATGATAACAGGATTTTTGTTCCAAATTATTCCGCACAGGAAGTTTCAAAACACTTTCTAGGTTGTAAAGAACTGAAAATTGTCATTTGTTGTGTTTGCAGCATATTTATGAAATCAAAAGCTATTTCAATCAAACTTTTAACAACATTTTAACTTTTTAAAAATTTTGAACCGGTCACGTTACATTGTAACATAGGACCCCTTATTGATAGCAGATCACAAGTCTTGCATCCATTGAACTTGTGAGTTTCTGGACAGTTTCTGCTTGAATTTGTTTGCAAGATGTCAGAATAGCCTCCCAGAGCTGCTGTTTGGATGTAAACTGCCTCCCACCCTCATAGATCTTTTGCTTGAGGATGCTCCAAAGGTTCTCAATAGGATTGAGGTCAGGGGAGGATGGAGGCCACACCATGACTTTCTCTCCTTTTATCCCCATAGCAGCCATTGATGCAGAGGTATTCTTTGCAGCATGAGATGGTGCATTGTCATGCATGAAGATGATTTTATTACGGAAAGCATAGTTCTTCCTTCTGTACCAGGGAAGAAAGTGGTCAGTCATAAACTCCACATACTTTGCAGAGGTCATCTTTACACCTTCGGGGCCCCTAAAGGGGCTGACCTGCTCTGTTCCCATGATTCCGGCCCAAAACATGACTCCACCACCTCCTTGCTGACATCGCAGCCTTGTTGGAACAGGGTGGCCGTCCACCAACCATCCACTACTCCATCCATCTGGACCATCCAGGGTTGCACGGCACTCATCAGTGAACAGGACTGTTTGAAAATTAGTCTTCATGTACTTTTCTGCCCAATGCAGCCGTTTCTGCTTGTGAGCATTGGTTAGTGGTGGCCGAATAGAAGGTTTATGCACAGTTGCAAGACTCTGGAGGACTCTACACCTTGATGTCCGTGGGACTCCAGAGGCACCAGCAGCTTCAAATATCTGTTTGCTGCTATGTAATGGGATTTTAGCAGCTGCTCTCTTGATCCGATGCATGGATCTGGCAGAAATCTTCCTCAATGTGCCTTTATCTGCACCAACACGTCTGTGCTCTGAATCAGCCACAAATCTCTTCATAGTGCGATGATCACGCTTAAGTTTTCGCGAAATATCGAATGTTTTCATACCTCGTCCAAGGCATCGAACTATTTCACTCTTTTCAGCAGCAGAGAGATCCTTTTTCTTCCCCATATTGCTGGAAAATGGTGCTCTGCTTAATAATGTGGAACCCCGTCCTTTAGTAGTTTTTCCTTAAATTGGGCTCACCGGCCAATCTAATTATCACAGGTGTCCGAGATTGTTTTCAGTGATCAAAAGAGCCCTGACACACAATGCCATCCATGAGTTACACTGAAAAACAAAATATTTAATCTTTGTGACACTTAAATAGAATTTGCATTATAATTATATATATATATATATATATATATATATATATATATATATATATATATATATATATATATATATACAGGCTCACCGGTAGGTCCAACGCAGTCCAGATTCCTAATAGTACTTTCCAGAAGGCTCCACCTTGTAAGGCTCGCAAAGAACGAGTCGGGGGGCAAGATAGTACTAATAGTGTAGTATGTTTTATTAATGTGGAAAAAGATCCGAATGAACAATAGTAAACTCACATACATATATATCATATAATCACCAGGCCTTCCTCACAGGCACAGTGGTGGTTAAGGTGGCAATCTGATGGATTCCCCTGACATGTTTCGTGCCACCAGCACGTTTTCAAAGGGGTGAAATCCATCCAGATCTATCTAGTGCTCACGCGTGAGCGCGTCACAAGCCGCATTATGTCCGCAATGTCTAGTTCCCGCATGCCAATGCGCATGCGTGGACGGACAAGAAACACAAGCTAATGGCATGCCATTAGATTAATAGAGACGTGCTCTACAGGGCTCAAATTTCCACATTTACTTTGAATGAAGAGGATAACCAGATAACATAGATCCTGTGACCTGAATATTGAGGGAAAACGGAGTGTGTTTTCATTGGTCATAATTATATCACCCTCATGGAGCTACAGACTCCATTTTGTTGTGGTCCATACTTCAAGGAGATGGGAATCAAATCTCAATTGATTGGTTTGTGCAGGTGTTTATCATCATACACAAAAAGAGAGGTCATTTTAGTCCGCATAACCAAACTGCCTATCCACCCAGCATTAGACAACCCTATGAGGCAAATCAAAATTCATATTATCCATCACACCACCCAAGGGTAAACCAAAGGCCTCGTAATCCTAGCTTACATTCCAACATGGCACCGGTTCCTCCTAACCCCCAAAGTCGTTTTTTAGGCCAGACCAGAAAAAAGAGGTAAACCAAAGGCCTTAATCCTAGCTTTTCCAACATGGCAGGCCAGACCAGACCAGAAAAAGAGGTGCCCGCACAGAGGAAAGCGAGGAAGAAAGAGGGTTAATAGACCCCAAAAAGAGAAGAATAAACAGTAGATGGCATATTTAATTTGAGTAATACAACCCTCACAGATGATGAGCTTAATTTATTAAATAAGGGATTGAAATTTGCACCAAAAAAAAATGGATAAATTTCATACCTATATTGACGTTCATAGATTTACCCGTAGGTTATCTCTTAAAAGATATTTTTTGACCGCATCCCCTTCACGGGGTTTAATGAATAATACACAGGGTGATTTTAGACCTAATTTAAAAAACTCCTCCCTTTTTAACCACTTGCCGCCCCGCCACTGTAGATATACGGCGGCAGGCGGCACTGGCAGGCAAAACCACGTTTTAAAACGTGTGTTTTTGTAAACAAATAGGGGGCGCGCGCGAGGTCCCGCCGATCACCGCCGCGGATGTCAGTCGCCGGGTCACAGCCCGTCCTTAGCGGCTGTTTCCCGTCGATCGGCGGTAAACAGTGACAGAGAGCACAGCTGCAGTAGCTGTGCTGTCTGTCACTTCTTTGTCAGCTCGAGGACGAGCTGATCGAGACAGAAGAGTTTCTCTCTCGATCAGCCTTGTCCTGCCCAGTACACACCCCCCGCCCCCTAGTAAAACACTCCCCTCACACAGATAAC